GTTAAAATAGATAAGGAAATTGACCCAATGAAGACATTAATACTTGGCCAACTAACTTCCACCTGTCTCTGTTAATTCTACAGAGAGTAATTAAGACTCAGAGGCTACTACTGTATACTAACACGGATCAACTCCTAGTCTCCTATAGATCGATTTTACAAATATATTGGAATAGTGTTTCAATTTTTTACTTTTTCTTCGTGAATAGTGTATCAATTATTGACCATATTGTTAATTCTGAAGTTCTAAACATTTGTTGAAAAAAGTTACGTGCATTCAACTCATCGTGCCTTTTAGATTAAAAAATTAGGCATCATAATTGTAAAAATATACTCCATCGCCTCATGTTTTATGTCAAAAAGATATATGTATTAAGAAAAATCATATACTATTAGGTTTTCAATGTAAGTTTAATGTTTGTTTTTCTACTTTATCAATAATATCATTTAAGATTAATCAAATGTGATTGTTTAAACAATAATAATAAAGAGGATATAATTAATCTTGCAACTATTTTAAAAATTTGTCTGAATATGTCAAAAGAACAATATATATACTACATATCTCACATTCTCATGGATATTACCAAACCATTTTAATTTATATTTTTTTGTTGGACAGAAAAATGGATATGTAATAACATAAAGTTGATTCTCCTGTTTCTCAGATAAGCTATACCATAAACTAAACAACAAAAACTATAACTAAGAGCGTAAGACACGAGGCTTGCTAATAGTATATCATAAAATATTTATGCATCCGATCCCTTTAATTAATGTTGTGGAGGAAAAAATCGATGACTAATGTTTTCCCTATGAGCTATGAACATATATACCTTAAAATATATCATTATAGAAAACATAAATTAATTAGATGAATAATGCTGTCATACTGATAATTAATCTTTAATTATATTAGGTTAAGAACTAATTACAAACTTAATAAATATACCAATTATATGCAGTAGGAAATAAATGCGCACAGATGGTTGGTGAGACCAATTACTCGTTATGTTCATGTGGCAATGGCAGATTCAATTCAACACACATACATACGTATACACTTTCTCTATATAAGAACCCTAAATCTCTCTTCATCACCATAAACTTGCCCTAAACTCCATCTAACATTCTTCTTCATTCA